GCACACATTACATCTATTTATATTTAGTATAAAATAAGCCATAATGGAGAAAAATGCATTCCTGTAGAATTAATCCATTCCAATAGAACAATAAACCCATTACATATTGATGTAAATGACATATCTGCATGGAAAACAACTATATTTTCTAAAACAAAAAAAAATGTGAGTGTTATTATATAACTTTCTTCCCCAAATCTCTCAAAGATACTGGAATCTTTTTCTACATCCCATCTGTTGTGCTATGTTATTTTGATTTAAGTTTGTGAGGAAAATCCAGTCTCATACATAGATAGCTGGAAAGTAGAAGGGTGTTTTAATAGTCTTTTCATATACTTTTGAATATTTTTCTTTTTTTTTAAGATTTATTTTATTTTTATTGGAAAGTCAGATATGCAAAGAGGAGGAGAGACAGAGAGAAAGATCTTCCGTTCAATGATTCACTCTCCAAGTGACCACAATGACAGGTGCTGTGCTGATACGAAGCCAGGAGCCAGGGACCTCCTCTGGGTCTCCCATACAGGTACAGGGGCCCAAGGCTTTGGGCCATCCTCGACTGCTTTGCCAGGCCACAAGCAGGGAGCTGGATGGGAAGTGGAGCTGCTGGGATTAGAACTGATGCCCATATGGGATCCCGGCACATTCAAGGTGAGAAATTTAGCTGCTAGAGCACTGCACCGGGCCCAGTTTGAATATTTTTCTGTGACGTGATGTTAAAATTAATTTGGAAATAGTTTCTTAAAGCTTTGTTACAATGTGAACTCTGAAATCACACCATGAACATTTGTATTCTGGATTGGCCCAAAGCCAGGAGTCTGGAATTTTCTTCTGGGTCTCCCATGTGGGTACAGGAGTGCAAACATTTGAGCCATCTTTTGCTGCTTTCCCAGGCATACTAGCAGGGAGCTGGAAGGGAGGTAAAGTAGCTGGGACTTGAACTGGTCCCAAATGAGATGCCAGCACTGCAGGTGGAGACTTCTCTACTACGCGAGTGTGCCAGATTCAAAGACATTCTTTAAATATGTTTTGGCTTTTCCCCCAATAATTATTTTTATTTTTGATTATTTTTACATAGTTGATTAGGGTGACAAGGGTCAAGGGCTACAGAAAGATGGGTGAGACCATTATTTTCACATTCTCTTTTTTCTTTTTTGTATCTAGGGAAGGGGAGGGACAAACAGAAGCCACACCCAGCTTCCCAAATACCTCTGTACCCTGGGATGGAGGACAGCCACCCGACACACCAGGGTCCGTGATGTAGGACATGCTCTGACAGACCTGATCAAGAGGTTTTGATAGTACAGCATTTCTGAATTACTGCCAATCACCAATCCAAGTACAATGAAATCTCTCCAGACTCCACTGGTTGACATTTCCCACCTTAGGGTCTGTTTGCCCAGATATTCACTGCCAATTTTTTGGCTGTGGTCATTGATCAGTTTTTTCTGTCCTCCATGCTCTGTATGGTCTTTAAATATTTTATTTATTCATTCATTTTGTTTTGTTTAAGGGACCAAGAGGTTAAGAGAAGGATACAGTTAGAGGTAGACAGGCAGGAATCTCCTTTCTGTTAATTCACTCTGCAAGTGCCTGCAAGTCAGGACTGGGCCAGGGCAAAGTCAGAAGCCTAAAACTTAATTAAGCTCTCCCACATGGGTGGCAGTCATCCAAATAATTGAGATATTACCTGCTGCTTCCCAAAGTGTTCTTTGGCATGAAGCTGGAGTTGGGAGCAGAACTGGAAAGCAAACCCAAGCACTCCAATATGGGATGGAAGTATCTTCACCACTAGACCGCGCATTTCCCCATCAAGGACTTTCTGAAATGAATCCAGCAGTTTTCTCTTTTCTCCCTGTGTTTGCACAGAAGTGGGTGCTGGCAGCATTTTGTGCCACTGAACTGATTTGTGCTAGGGGCTCACAGATGTATTCATCATCACCAATGAATGTCAGCACAAAGAAATGAACAAACAATAACCTCATATTATTTTGAAAACTGTTTTGACCTTGCTGACCCTCAAGAAGGACCTTGGAGATTCCTATGGGCTCACAAACCACACTGAAAAACCATTGACCTTTGGTCTTCCATATGATTCAGGGTTCCTTAGACCATACCATGATAGAGAGGGGAAAATTGACATAGTTGTACAACAAGAACCTCAGTACTTGCCACTGTCTATGCCAAGTTAGTTCAAGCAGCTTTGATTCTCCTTTATAATAGAAGAAAAGGACTCAGCAGCTATTATCTGTCATTACTCACTCTGTACTGAAAGTGGTATTCATCTGCTATAGAAAATGTGATGCTAGTTCAGCAGATCCTGTGTTGCCTGCACAGCAATGGTTGCTACTTGGTTGTGTCTGTGGTAGATCCCCACTGGTTTTAGAAGGGGGTCAATCGATTATGTACAGATAAGATAGGGAGGCAATCATCTCTGTGATTTCCTGACTCTCCTTAGCGTTGTCATTCACTGTTGTGGCTGCCAGAAATGTGTTCTAGAGACATCCTGGCCTTCCGTAGTACAGTAGTGATATTGCCAATGTGAGATTCTGAATCACCACAATTATATCCTAGATATCTTAGGAGATACATCCTTGTGTGTGGGGGGGGGTGGGCACTGACCCAATGCCTTCACAGTGAGCTAGACCTAGGCCAGGCCTTCATTTCTTAGCTGACTCCTAATCACGACTTTTCCTTTGGAAAAAACATACTGGCACTGAATATCAATATCAGGCACTGTGTCTAAAGATCTCAGAAGATCTGAATGTTTTCTTTCTCTCAGTGCAGCTACCTGTGAATGTAGCAATAGGTTCTTTTGCAGGAAGGATGGAGGCTGTTTATACTCCAGTACAATTGCTACTCATTGCAAGACTTTTCATAAAAGGAGCCAAATGGTTCAGGTTTGACAACTGGGTAGAGGATCATAACTGCACTATTAGACTACCATCACAATCCTGATCATCCACTGTGGATTTGCTTTGAGTGTATAAATTAAGCGTTGCTCTTCCTGGTGGCCCATATTTTAAGTTTCCAGAACCAATGTGTTAACTGTCTCTGCAGATCTCCATGAATTGGTCTTTCTTGGCTGCCATCCAACCTTGTTGCAATAACTGGGGAGGAGTGTTATGCTGTACACTGGAGATGCCATTTTCATACCTCTGTTCTAATCTTATTTCTATTAATATTTGCTTATTCTATGTGCCATATTTTACTTCATTAGAACTATGGTTTAGGAAACATATAACATCACTGAGGTTACCAGCAGTTTAAATATTAAATATTATTTAATAAAAATTTAAATATTATAGTGTTTCTCAGATTTGCTGATCATCTAAGATGCTTAAATTAGGTACTAAAATTAGTAACTGACTCTGGAGAAAGTTTTCTGTGATTTTGTTCTCTCATCTTTTGTGTCTATATATGTAATGTTCTCAATGTTTTCTCTGGATGGTTTTTTCTTAACTGTTAGCAACTGAATATTTTAACAAAGGATGTTGCTTGTTTTTAAGTAGCTAGAAAACTTCTGATCAAAGTCCTTGTAAATGTGTGGGATTTCATGACACTCGTATGCATTTAACAAAAATGTTTCATGCCACTTTATTTCCTCTCTTGCTATATCTTTTTCCTTGTCTCAATTTCTTTTATCTTGTTATAAGCACATATCTCTCCATGAAGTATTTTAAATCATGACTTCTGAGTAGGCACTGTTAATGTTTTCGTAAGTGCTGTGGATATGTGTAAGAACATGTATGTGTATATCGGGGAGAAGTTAACTGCTCCCTCCTTCACTCAGTTGAGATGGAGCTCTTACAACAACGTGTATTTCTTCTCAACAAGCAAATTTAACAGAGCCCACTTAAGAGATTTCCTGGCTTCTTTTTCGTTTTAAGGAAGTATGCTAATATTCTCACAGCAATTTTCAGCCATCTCTGAGCAGCAGTAACTGCTGTCTCTTCTCCTTTAAGAAAAACAACCCTTCAAGGGAAGGGAGCAACTGAGTATTGTGTAAGAAGGAAGGAATCATCTTCTGGAGAAAGAAAATCAACCAACTCATTTTTACATTACCAACTAAAAACGCTTAAATGAATGATAAGCACCCGCAGGGGCTGAGAAATCTCATAAGCTCTCCAGACCGCCCCTAGAGGGACGTTTGTGGGAGGTAGCTAAAGGACTATTTCAAGGAAAGTTCATTGGTCAACTTGTTCCCACGCGGGGGATCCATTTCAGGCAAGTCGTGACTGAACTGTGGACAGCACCAAAGGGCTCCCTCGGGCGGGGAGAAGCGGCACCATGGACAGCACCGCGCAGAGGGACACCAAGGGGTCAGAGGTGAGGGGCGGGCAGCACCACGGACAGCGCCAAGGCGCTCCGAGCTCCGAGCTCCGAGCCAGGAGGCGGGGAGGGGCGACCTTATCAGCTGACGTGTTACGTAGTGCTGGATCTCCGCTTTGATAAAGCGGGTCTGGGTGGGCGCGCCAGCGCTCCCCCTCCCAGCCGCAGCCCCAGACGGCATAGGGAGGCGAACGGGGCAAAGCAGAATGCTTGGCGTTCCCGACACAGAGCTGAGGCTGCAGGCAGCGGCCCGGAGAGAGGGGTCAGGTAGGGAAACAGCGTTGCCAAAGCTGCTGCTGCTCTGACGCACCAGACTCTGCTGCCTGGCTTTCCCCCGTGACCTGGAAGCTGCTCGGTTCTGGGCCACACAGACAGCCGTCTCCTCCAGGTGAAGAGTCCTGAACATGTGACAGCCCAGGCTGGCTCCGGCTGCCAGTCGCAGCTTCTTGCCTCTGAGGGCTCCAACGTTATCGCGGCTTACAGCGCGCCGAGCGCCCTCCTCTCCACCACATCTCCCAGAGGCGCCCACTGGCAGGAGGCTGGGGACAAATTCACAGGCACTTCCAAGAAATACGCCGCTGGCCAAAGGTTGCAAACATCCGGATTGGCTCTGGGCGCAGCCTTCACCTTAAGTTATGCCCCTTTAAACACGTCCTGGGCTGGCTTCTTAACTCAGAGATGGATTTGCCTGCGAACTTAACTTCGTGTTCCCTTGTCACCTCCTCGCCTTTGGAGAACAACCGTAGCCTTGGCACAGAAGACCTGCGTCCCAGTCCACACCTCGTCTCTGTTTTCGGTGTGCTTGTTCTGACTTTGCTGGGCTTTCTGGTAGCGGCTACGTTCGCATGGAACCTGCTGGTGCTGGCGACCATCTTCCGCGTACGCACCTTCCATCGAGTGCCACACAACCTGGTTGCTTCCATGGCCGTTTCGGATGTGCTGGTGGCCGCGCTGGTCATGCCGCTGAGCCTGGTGCACGAGCTGTCAGGGCGCCGCTGGCAGCTGGGCCGCCGGTTGTGCCAGCTGTGGATCGCGTGCGATGTGCTCTGCTGCACCGCCAGCATCTGGAACGTGACAGCCATCGCCCTGGACCGCTACTGGTCCATCACCCGCCACTTGGAATACACGCTCCGCGCCCGCAAGCGCATCTCCAACGTGATGATTGCACTCACTTGGGCGCTCTCTGCTGTCATCTCTCTGGCCCCGCTGCTTTTCGGCTGGGGGGAGACGTACTCTGAGGGCAGCGAGGAGTGTCAAGTCAGCCGTGAGCCCTCCTACACCGTGTTTTCCACGGTGGGCGCCTTCTACCTGCCACTCTGCGTGGTGCTGTTTGTGTACTGGAAGATCTACAAGGCTGCCAAGTTCCGCGTGGGCTCCAGGAAGATCAACAGCGTGTCGCCTGTATCTGAAGCTGTGGAGGTGGGTGCTATAGCGATCCTTAAAATACTCTACTCCCCCTGCAACCCTAGAAGTTTGTAGAAAGTGGTACTTTTTGGTTCGCCTGGGACACAGGCTTATTTTGTTCTTTTAGTTGTGCATCACAGAACAAATCATCTCCGTCATTCAAATTCAATGGATTGTTTCCTCATATGTAAACTGAAGCGTTTGAGTACATATCTCCATAAGGTGCCATCTGTTTCCCAAATTCCAGGGATATGGAGTTTCCTGCTCTTAAAGCAGCAATGCCCACAGATAAAGGGAAAGCCCGACTTGACAGCAAGACTGCCCTCCACCAAGCAAAGCAGATTAGTGTTTAATTCTAGTCCATTTTCTTCTTCACAAATTATACCACCTGATTTTTGCAAATACATGCCATCTCCCAGGTTACTAACCTCTATTTTACAGCATCCTCCCCTCCTGTTGCCTGTAATAGCCTGCATTTGTTATCTGCCTTGAGAAATGACTCTGAATCCATTTGAATCCTACATTCCACCAAGGTCTCTCGGGTTATATGTATGACTGAGGACCGCTCCCCAACATGTTTCTGGAGGAAATTAAAAATCCAATGTAGGCAATTCCCCAGCCCTCTACAAGTGTCATTTAATGTATGACAACCACTACAGTAACAAGGAAAGCTTATCTTCTTCACACCTACACTTTCCTGCCTTTTATTAACTCTTCCTAATCTGACCATATGACTCAGGAGTCTGAAACTCTAAGAGAATTGCATCTTATTGGACGTGAAGGCTGCTGTCATCCCACCCGGACACACTTAGTACCAAGGATGATTCCCTGAGCTTTTTTTCACACATTTAAGTGATACTAGGAACTGACACAACCCATATTTTTGGCTAGTGCCTCTCGAGCAATAAACTCAATTTAATGAAGCCTACTAAAGAACATTCTGTGGGCTTGGTACAGATGTAAAGGAGTGATGAAGACCTCATTATTGCCCAAGGCTTTGTGTAGTGAGTGAAGTTGTCATCCACTATGAGGTGTTTTTTTTTTTTTAAATAATAAGTTCGCAATAGGTAATTTTGATTATTATTTTCAAACTGCCCTGTGGTATAGCTAAGGAACAGAGAAGGAAATTGGCTAGGTGGCTACTTATCCTTTTTACTAGAACCAAAGGTTTCAGCTAAGAATGACATTGCCCCTGTTACCGGACTCCAACCATGGGGTGACGCCTGAAGTGTAGAGGTCAGAGGTGTTGTTAAATATTGTACAATGCGGAGATACAGTGTGCAAGGACAGCCCTCCATAAGGAGTAATTAAGATCAAAATGTCAATTGTATTGAATTTGGAAAGTTCTGATGTAGTAGATTTCTAAAGTAAAGACGCAGTAAAGATAAATAATAATGGTAGAGCTCCCACTAGAATGGCTGGAGCTCTGTTTTACGTGCGTGAACCAGGTCAGGAACAAGGCGACTGGCCTCCTCCAAGGGCCCTTCTTCTTCCGTGATTCCTCTTCTGCCAGGATGATTCTGGAAGACAATGTGACAGACTTAATACCAAACACAGCTTGAAAAGAGGAAATCAATTATAATTCTTCCTCAGGGCTTATTGTCCAAAGGTGAAGGGTTCCTTCATTTCATTGCATTGTTGATAGCTGAAGGAAAGCTTTGTGATATCTTTGTGTTTGCATCTCTTCATTTCTGTCTCACTCTTCCCCTCCCTCCCTACACACACGTACTTCTAGAAATTAATGAAAATGGAATTATAAAAATATGTTTATTTCTTGTAGTATAGATACTGATTTTTTTTTCTCTGCCAAAACAGGTTTTTAAGCTTTATTTACCCATTTATTTGAATGAGAGAGAAATAAACTGAGATCTTCTAGCCTCAGATTCACTCCCCAATGTCTGTAACAGGTGGGGCTGACATTGGGACCCTGCACCTGCATGGGAAGCCCAGAATAAGTTCCTGACTCCTGGCTTCAGATCAGCTGAACTCTAACCATTGAGGTCAGTTGGGGAATGAACCAGTGGATGGAAGATCTTTCTGTCTTCCTTTCTCTCTGTAAATCTGAGTTTCCAATAAAAAAATAAACAAAAATGGGGCCACTATCCTGAGACGTCTTTTCTCTGAAAATACTTTACCTGTATTTGAAGCTGTGGAGGTGGGTGTTATAGCGATCCTTAAAATACTCTACTCGCATTTGTACAGACTGTATCCATGTTCCCTTTTCCCTCCCCCCCTACAACCCTTAAAGTTTGTAGAAAGTGGAACTTTTTGGTTCACAGGGACATCTGCTGTCTCCAAGATCACTGGCAGGAAAGATCAGATGAGAACTCAACCTCTGGCACTGCAAAATGGGATGAGGGCGGCCCAAGTGATAGCTAACCGGCTGTGCTACAGTGTCTGATCCTGTCAGATTACTTTCAGAATGGATCCATTGGCTTTGCAAGGCTGCTCCATGATCTAGGGTTATGCATGTAACAGCTGGGTTACTTCTGTCCTTATACTTTGCTGAAGGATTAATTACAAATCAGGCCTCCTGAATTCTGCACGCTAGTGGGTATCGAGGTTTCTAAGTGCAGTCTTTTCACCAGCTGTGTTACCTGGGGAAACCACAACACACCTTTCCTGTTTCTTTTTCTGTTTAATCTTCTTCAAATACATACTGGAGCTTTAATTGCAGTCAGACTTTGAGATAGGAAGTGGTAACATAAGACAAACTGGCCTGTTTTTGTCAAAGGATGATGAAATCACTAGTAGAGTTCTGAAATAAATTGCCAAGGAGAAACGCAGGTCTCACTGGGCTGAAGGATCTCAGCATTGGTCAGGTACAACCTCACTGGACAGAGCGGAATGCTGAGCCAAGGCATTATGGGGAGGGATAGAGTTCAAGCAATAGGGGACTGTTGAGGTATATGTGGCGTGACATCAACTGGATAACAAGCTGCTGATGAATGGTTGTTACCACAATGGATGTTTATGAAAGTGAGTTCATTTCTGGAGGTTTGACCTTCAAAACTGAGGGCCTGACACCAACAAGTTGGCTTGTAAAAGCATCTTCATTAAGAATTTTGCTTGGCTTTTAGAAACTGTATTTGAAAGAATTATATGGAAAAAGAGGGAGAGGAAAAAGGCGAGGGAGGGAGGGAGGAATGGAGAGAGAGTCGGGGGAGATAAAGAAAGAAAGAAAAAAAGGAGAGAGAGAGAGACAGAAGAGAGAACAATTTTTTGCCTACATTCCAACAGCGAGGCTAGCCAGTTCAAAGCCAGAAGTCAGGACCTCCATCTAGGCTTCTTACATGGCTGACAGCAGCCCACAAATCTGTGCCACCTTCTACTGCTTTTCCAAGCACATTAGCTGGGAGCTGGATCCGAAATGGAGCAGCTGGGCATAGTACTGGCTGCAGGTGTCTCACTGTATCACAGCGCCAACCCAAGATTGTTTCTGATTCACATAGTTTGACTTCTTTGTTCCCCCACTTGGATTCTCATTCAGCCAAACTTCAAGATCATCCTGATCTTCACCGCTAATGGTTCTTACAGATGAAACCTCTCTGTGGAAAGCCGATGCACAGACTGTAATCAGGATGATTTTTATCCTGTTTCTTAGTCATGTATTGAATCATCTGCCAAATACAGTACTGCAGAGAAACATATAAAGTTATGAAGAAGAGCCCCAGAACAACCGTGAGACAAACAAGTGAAGATAGAAATACTTTAGGAAGGACTGCAGGCTCTCCCTGGTTTTAACCTGTGACATCTCAGTTCTGATTGAAAAACAAAAAACAAAACCAAAAAAGATCAGTTCCAAAATTTTCTTGTGTGTCTTTTTTAGGTAACTAGATTGGTTTTTCTTCTATCTTATGTATAGACGATTTTACTTCTCTGTTACTCCAGCAACAATGTGATATATTAGCTATGGAAAAAACTCTAAAGTTGGTCGACAGAAAATGTAAAGCTATTCTATTAGTTTGGGTTAGGATATTTAAACTGATTTATCAAAGTCAGGGAGATGAGACCACAGAGTGCGTTATGCTAACCAAAGTAAGCATTGTTTGCCATGGTAACATTTCAATACAGCAACAAATCTAGTTATTTGATTTGTATAAATGAGTTCACTATCAGGCCTGGTGCAGTAACCTAGTGGCTAAGGTCCTCACCTTGTATGTGTCAGGATCCCATATGGGTATTGGTCTGTGTCCCAGCTGCTCCACTTCCCTTTCAGCTCCAGGCTTGTGACCTAAGAAAACAGTAGAGGATGGTCCAAAACTTGGGAAGCCCAGACGAAGCTCCTGACTCCTGGCTTCAGATCAGCTAAGCTCTAGCCATTGAGGTCACTTGGAGAATGAGCCAATGGATGAAAGATCTCACTATCTTCCCTTCTCTCTGTAAATCTGAGTTTCCAATAAAAATAAACAAAACCCTTTAAAAAATGGAGCCACTATCCTGAGAAGTCTAGTCGCTGAAAATACTTTATCCCTTTGGACTCTTCGCAAAGCAAGTAAGCTCTTTAAGGATGTTGGAATAAGACCTTGGAATCACTTAACCTGTGGTTCTATTGAGCAATGAATGGTTCTGGGTTGACATTGAGAAGTTTGGTCTCAAATAGCCTATAGACCAGGACTTGTTCCTGAGATGTGGTCTGTTAGTGAAGCTGTGGGAAAATTGTCTACTGTATGATGAGAATGGTCACTAACTCATGTGACCATTTAATTGTTCCAAAGTTCCTGGTTTAGTAGTCAGTGTCCATCTATGTCTCTTCCTTTGTTAGTTCTATGGAGGACCTCAGTTTAGAACTGTTTTAAGTAGCACCAATCATCAAGTAATTCCCATCAGGTGATTATTTTCAGTTAGGCCCACAGAGAACATATCTATAGCATGTCAAATAAGTGAATTACCTGAAAGTAAAGCAGGTTTGCTGCCTTGTCCCACATTTTAACAATTTGATATTATAATTTGAATTGTAATTGATCATTTCAATTAGAGAAACACAATCATGAACATTTTTCCCTTTATTAGCT